ATTATATTTTTTTATCCTTCCTTTTGTTTATGTAGTGTATCATTAATTGATTTGCAGATATTGTACCAATCTTGCATCCTTGGAATAAATCCCACTTGATCATGGTGTATAATCTCTTTAATGTGTTGCTAAATTCAGTTTGCTAATATTTTATTGAGGAATTTTGTATTTATGTTTATCTAAAATATTGGCCTATAATTGTCTTTCTTTGTAGTGTCTTTTTCTGATTTTGAAATTAGAATAATGCTGGTCTTATAAAATGAGCTTGGGCATTTCCCCTTTTCTTGAATTTTTGGCAATAGTTTGAGAATGATAGATGTTAGTTCTTTGAATGTTTGGTAAAATTCACCTCTGAAGCCATCAAGTCCAGGAATTTTGTTTGTTTGTTGCTGTTGTTGTTGTTGTTTTTAAACTGCTTTAATTTAATTAGTTATAATATTTCTGTTCAGATTTTCTGATTATTCCTGATGCAGTTTGAAAGATTGTATGTTTCTAGGAATTTATACATTTTGTTCAGATTGTTCATCTGTTGGCATATGGCTTTTTATAATGTTTTGTTGTCATTTTTTTTTTTTTTTTGTATTCTGTGGTGTCAGTTTTTATTTCCCCTCCTTCATTTCTGATTTTATTTATTTGGGTCCTCTCTCTTTTTTCTTGATGAGCCTGGTTAAAGGTTTATCAATCTTGTTTATTTTTCCCAAAACCAACTCTTGGTTTCATTGTTTTTGGTTTTTTTTTGTATTTTTGACCCAATTTTATCAATTTCTGCTTTGATTTTTGCACTCTCATTTCTTCTACTCATTCTGGGCTATTTTTCTTTCTTTTTTTCTTTTCTTTTTCCAGTTACTTCAAGTGTAAATTGTTTATTGAGATTTTTCTTTTTACCTGAGGTAGGCCTGTATTGTTATGGATTTCCTTTTTTAGGACTGCTTTTGCTGTCCATAGATTTTGGGTTGTTGTGTTTTCATTTTCATTTTTCTCGAGGCATCTTTTGATTTCTTCCTTGATCTCATTGTTAACCTATTGATTGTTTAGCAACATGTTATTTAACCTTTATGTCTTGGTATGTTTTTTAGTTTTATTCTTGTAATTGATTTCTAGTTTCATACTATTTTGTTCAGAGAGAATGCTTAACATGATTTCAGTCTTCTTAAATTTATTGAGACTTCTTTTTGTTATAACAGTTGGTGTATCCTAGAAAATGTTCTATTTGCACTTGAAAAGAATGTATAGTGTGCTGCTTTGGAGTGAACGGCTCTGAAAATATTAATTAAATCTGTTCTAATGTGTCATTTAAGGCCACCATTTCCTTTTGTTTTTTTTTGGTCTGGAAGATCTATCTAGTGATGTCAATGGGGTGTTAAAGTCCCCTACTATAACTGTATTACCGTAGCTCTCTCCATTTATTTCCATCTAGATTTGCTTTATGTATTTAGGTATTCCTAGGTTAGGTGCATAAATGTTTACAAGAATTAATCCTCTTCTTGAATTAATCCATTTATCATTGTATTGTGTCCTTCTTTGTCTCTTATTACAGCCTTTGTTTTAAAATACAGTCTGTCTGATGTCTTGCTACCCCAGTTTTATTTTATTTCCATTTGTATAAAATAATTTTTTTCTATCTCTTTTAGCCTGCATATGCCTTTCATTCTGAGGTGGGTCTCTAGTAGACAGTATATATATGGATCTTGTCTTCTTATCCACCTACCCTGTCTTTTGATTGGCACATTTAAGCCATTTATAATTAAAGTGATCATTGATAAGTATTTATTGACACTTCATTTTTTATAACTATTTTCCTCTTTTTCTCTTCTTTCTCCTCCTCCTCCTCTGCATAGGTAACTAACTGTCATTTTCTTTGGGTATTTAAGATTTCTTATTGTCTTGAACTTTTGTTATTTTAATTATGATGTGTTGTGTTATGGCCTCTTTGGGTTCATATTGTTTGGGACTCTCTGTGCTTCCTGAACATGAGTGTCTTTATCTTTTACAAGGTTAGGAAAGTTTTCAGACAGTGTTCCTTTAAATAGGTTCTCAATTGTTTGCTCTCTCTTCTCTTTCTGATACTCCTATGATGCGGGTGTTGTTATGTTTTATATTGTCCCAAATCTCCCTTAAACTATCCTCATTTTTTAAAACACTTTTTTCTTTTTGCTTCTGTGATTGTTTACTGCTTCTTTGTCTTCCATATCACTGATTTGGTCCTCTGCTTCATATAACCTACTGTTTATTTCTTCTAGTTTATTCTTTATTTCAGGTATTTTATTCTTCATTTCTGACTGGTTCTATTTAAGGTCTCCGCGTACTCTTTTATGCTCACTGTTTTTTGTTTAAGTTCTCACTGTGTTCATCTATTCTTCTTCTAAGTTTCTTGAGCATTCTTATAACCATTGTCTTGAACTCTGTATTTGGTAGATTGATTGCCTCCATTTCATTTAGTTCTTTTCTGGAGATTTCTACTGTTCCTTCATTTGGGGCAGGCTTCTTTGTCTCCCCAGTTGGCTGCATCTCTGTTTTGTTTAGGTAGATCTTCTATATCTTCCAGTCTTGGTAGCATGACATTATATATTAGGTGACCTGTGGGAGACCATGTGGCATAGTCACCTTGATTACCTGAGCTGGGTACTCCAGGAATGTCCCTTATGTGGGTTATGTTAGCCCTCCTGTTATAGTTGAGTCTGGTTGATGTTGGTTTTTCCATGCAGTGGGTCAACCCTCAGGATGGCTAACTGTGAGGATTGGCTACAACCATAGTATATGAGATGCTGTGCAAATGCTGACCACACCAAGTAGAATTTGCCTAAGCAGTGTCTAGTGCAGCCAAGGTCTCCCTTGGATGTGCCACTTATGAAACTCATTGGATTCTGCTCTGATGTTGTTTGAAGCTTGCCACTGGGTGTGTTGGTTTGGGGGCCTCTTGGGAGGGACTCTGGAGCAGGTCAATGTCAGACACTGCCAGTGACTGGTCCTAGACAATCTTTTTGGAGCTGCAAAATGATCCACAGTATGTGTCTGCCTCTACTGGGCATGTGTGTGCATTAGAAGGACCAAGCTGTGTGGCCAGTCAGCAAAAGGCCCAATCATCCTGAGATTTGCCTGCAGGCTGCCTGTTAGGCTCAGTTACTGAAAAATCCTTTGACAGTATGCAAATTATATGAGGTAGGTTTTCAGTGAATCACCAGGTCAGGGTAAGTTGTGTTTATCAGACTGATACAAATTCAAACTCAGTGCCAGTGTTGGGTCTGAGGCCACTTAGCAAAAGTTCCAGAGTATACCAAGGCTAGCTGACACCCACTTGGTGCCCACAGACCTTTGCTGTGGGGTGGGATATCAAGGAGTCTTCAGAGTGAGTCCAGCAGTGTTTATTAGGACCAAATAGACCTTGATTTGGCTATGTGAAGGGAGCAAGAGAAAAATGACCTTGTTTCAGCATGAAAGGGAAAAGTGACCCTCAACTCAGTCTGTTCTGGATTCTTCCCAGGCCTCCTGAAGAGCCTGAGCTTGGAGTGCAAGGTTTCTGGGAGTTGGGAGGGTGGGGCTAGAGGATCTCCTGTGAGGGGGTGGTGCTGGTCAGGCTTGCAAGAAGGTGAGGTCCTTGACCCAGAGCCACATAACTTAGTCTCTGATACCCTCTAAGTCTGCCTGAACTTCTATACCCTGACCCAGGCAACTGACCTCTCCACACTGGGCAACAGGTAGTCTGGAGGGCTGAGCTATTGCATTCCCCCAAGGTGATGCCATATAAAAGGGTGTGTTCGACCCAAGAAAGATGGCAATTGCAGTGTGGAAGAGTAAGAGCACAGTGACCCTGGAAGCTGTCTCCCCGGAGCCACAAAATGCAGTCCCCCCTCAGAAAACTCTAGTTTGCTCCATCCTTTCTTCAAAGAAGCTCAGTGCGAGTGGATACAAAGAGATTTTGTGCACTGCCCTTAAAAGAAGGTGTCTGCGTTTCTAGCAGATTCCTGTTTCTTCCTGGGAGAATTCCCACTGATTTTCTTTTCTTTTTTTTTTTTTTTCAAGGCACATTTAATTTAATATCAAGAGTGTGATACAAAAGGCCGAAAATACAATGAAGGAACACATTCCCTCATTAACACCAATGACAATGCTCTTTCAACATGTGCCTGTTGAATGAAATGGGGATTGAATAAATTTCACTACTGAAAAAATAACTCAGTGAGTCTCATCACAGCCAATACCCTTATACAATCTAGTTGTGAAATGAATGTTTATAATGCTTCAAACAGTATAAACCTGAAGTTTGATACCACACCTTCATGTTTGTACAGTCCTTAATAAGATTATCACAGTATTAGCAACCATTCAAAGAACAAACCATTGATAAATACCACATTGTCTTAAGGCTCAATCAAGTAATAGAGAGCCCCAAACTAAATGGTTCAATATATGAACTACTTGTACTGTATCTATTATTTGATTCTGTTATCACTATTAAGTTGTTTCTTAGCAAATAAACCCTTTAAATGCAAAATTCACCTCATTTGAGTTTTGACCAAGAAGTTCAACAACAATCATGAAGTCCACAGTCTTATTGGCAAAACTGATACACAGTGTCTCTAAGTCACTGTGCTCAAGGTTAAGAGCGATGCATATTTCATTTTTACATTTTGCTGGAATTTTACATGTTCAATTCATGATTTTAAACCTCTAGGTTTTCATTCCTCCAAACTGTCGACACAGTGTGCCACAGACCTAAGACTTCTGCTTCTCCCTCTATTTTCTTCAAACAGAAACATTTCTCAAGTGTCTACATGCTCTAGAAGGGGAATTTTCGGAGGTGGCCACTTCTTCGGAACAGTCCGACGCCGTCAAGCGGGTGGTGGTGGGGGGGAGGGGCTGAAACACAACGTTCATCTGGTAAGTTTGACATTAACCATTACAAGCTGGATAGTATAAGAATGTGGCTTTTTGGCTCAAAAAGTCTGAGTCTTGGTGTGGAAACGAGCACTTGGCTGTCCCACCACAGCTTTCTTGTAGTGGGACTGTCAGGGAAGTCTTGACTGGGGAGTATGATTTGTTTACCTATCAGGCGTAAACTTCCAGGCACTCAGTTCATTTTGGGCTTGTTCCAGTTTGTCTTTAGTCTGTTCCAGTTCACCTTTCATTTTTAGGAAAAATAAGTTGATCGCGGGGTCTACCATTGTTGATCTCAGTTGGGCGACACTGGGCTGCTGGACTTGCTTGAGGTACTGGAGTTGAGTAGTACACTCTTGCATTTCTTGCTCCTTGGTTGCTAGTCGCATTACAAGAATGTTCTCCCTGCGTGCAGACTCTTGCTGTTGTTGCTTTAGTTTTTCTTCCGACTCCCTTAAGCCAGTTACATCATTAGAGTTCAGATCTGTGTACTTGCCCTCCAAAGCTTGAACATATGCTTCATACTGTTTCCATCTTAAAATGAACTCATCTCGTGCCATAACTTTGAAGTCTGTCTCACTCAGTCGAACCTTTTTGGGAAGAGGTTCCTCGTTGGTCATCTTGAATCCTCTCCAGACAGAGGTCGCGCCGGCGCCGCCCCGGCCGCCGGGTCGCGGTACCGCAGACCCCCGCGCTCCCCTTTATTTGCGGGTCTCGCCGCCACAAAATGGCGCTCCCCACTGATTTTCACAGCCAGACATTATGTGGGTATCTTTTCCTGGCTCTGGTGCTCTGGGCTGGGGAGCCTGGCATGGGGTTGAGACTCCATGTTCCTCAGAGGGAACCTCTGTAGCTGAGATATCCCTCCAGATTCTCTGCTACCACACATGAGTTCAGGGCCAGCCCTTCACGTCTCAGCCTTTTTTACTAGTCTCAATGTGGCTTCTTCTGTAAATATTTGGTTATAAGACTTCTGTTCTCCTAGTTTTCAGTTGTTTATTCAGGTTAATTATTCTAGAATTTAGTTGTAATTTCAGTTTGGTCTTGGGGAGAGGTGACTGTAACTCCCACATTCTTTGCCACCATCTTGAATTGTCTGAATATATTTAATATACATATAACTCAATTTTACATTTCAATTATACATACAATTAAATTTAATACACTTCAATTTACAGTCTTTTTTTTTTTTCTAATTGCTACCTGTGTTTTAAAAAATCCTCTTCTTACAAAGATGATAAAGACATATTATTTTATCTTCTAAAATTTTTATAAATTTTCTTTTCATACATACATTTTTAATTCCATTGGAATATAATTTTGTGTATTCTGTGAGATAAGATTCATTTCCTTTTTTGTTTTATTTTTTTCTCTTATGGTGACTCAATTTCCCTGACACAATTTATTGAAAACTTCTCTTTTCTCTGCTGATGGGCACAGTTACTTTAGTTTTATAGCAAGCATCCATATTATTAGGTATGTTTCTGGGTCATATATTTCATTGTTCTATTTAGCTGTTCCTACATAATATCATTCTGTTCAATTAACATAACTTTACACATGCTTGCAATCTGAAAAAAAATAACTCTTTTTCTTTATCCGTAGTATCAAGCATATTCTTGACATTTTCTACTTTCATATAAAAATATAGTTCTATAAGTCATAGAATTATAGAATAAATTTCTCAAGTCCACATTGAAGCACACGATCAAAAGCCCTCTTAGGATTTTAATTTGGATTGCTAGTGATTAATTGGTAGAGAATATACATTTTACATTGAGTCTTTCAATAGGGCATGTCTCATTTTTATGTAGATTTGTTTTAATAGTTGCTATGGACTGAATTGTGTCCTCCCAAATATTATATGTTGAAACTCTAACCCTCAGTATGACTATTTGAAGATAGGGTCTTTTGGGGGTCATTAAGGTTAAATGAAGTCATACAGGGGATACTAATACTATAACATTGGAGGCCTATGTTAAAAGGAAGAGATCCCTCCCCAACTCTCCTCCCTTCCTCTCTGTGAGCACACAGGAGAAAGTGGCCAACATGCTAAGAGAAGAGTGAAACCTGTCTTGTGAAACTTCATAATGAAATCTACTTTGCTGTCATCTTGGTCTTGGACTTCTCCAACCTCTAAACTATAAAAAATAAACGTATATTGTTAAAGCCACCAATTTTTAGTGTTTTGTTATGACAGCCTGAGCAGACTTCTACAGTAGTGCTCAGAGTTCTCCACAGAGAGAAAGTAGTTTCCTGGCTGCTTAATACTTTTGATGGTAATGTAGTGACATCTTAAAATTTTCATTTTCTGTTGATTACAGAGAAGTGAAATTAATCTCTGTATTTGATCTTATATCAATCAACCTTGCTAATCTCTCTTGTTAAATGTCAAGTATTGATCTAAATATCCTTTTAGAATGTCCTAAAGTGATAGCAATATTAGTGAATAATGAATGAAAGCTATTTCTTTTCCATATTTATTTTTCTTCTTGCAATTATTATGCTGATAAAGACCTAATTCATAAGGTCTGAGGTGGGATTTGGGAATCTTTATTTGTGACCAGTATCCTGGGATGATTTTTGCAAGTTTAGGAAACTCCAGTTTATGGTACTTACATTGTAAGGGTTTGGCACTATTGGTAGATATATATTGATTGGTTCAGATTTGATTGGTTCATATTTTCATAATAGCAATTTATAAAAGTTAAATTTCTCTCTAGGGCAGCAGAATGCAACTGGAGATATCTGGGTCAGAGAGGTGCCTCTAGTTGGGGAAAGAGGAAAATTGAAGGGCAGAGAAATAGGGAGACATGACACAGGAATGGAGGTACTTAACAAAATGAGTGTCGGGATTCCCTGTGTACTCCAAGCTCACAAGGAGCTCTTTTTCAACTTCCCCTTTGTCTTCCAGGTCAAATATATATTTCACCTAATCTATTAAGCCCTACTTTTCCTCCTGAATAACTACTAACTCTGCTCTTAAAACAAACAAACAAAAAATCCTCCTTCAATGTCCTTACTCTTCCATGTGCCAATATGGACTACATTTACTAAAAATGGTTCAATCAAGAAATATCTTTCTTTTGCAGAAATGTCATATTTGGAATATAACATATACTTAGTAAATGATATGTAAAGGTAGAGGCAATGTCAGGAGAATAACAGAAATGAAATGATCAAAGAGATAGTAAATAAACTGAATTTTTAAAGAACTAAGAATGTAAAATATAGGCACAAAGTATTTCATTAGCTAGAGGAGAGGTCTTGTGTAGATATCAGTGGATTACAAAGCTTGGGAGTCAGCTTAGTAATAGATTTTAGAGAATCTTGAGGTAAAGCAAAGATATGAGGGTGTATGCTAGAGAGAGGTCGAGTTCCCTAAGATTTTTGGATGGTCAAGTGACCCATACAAAATTAAATCTGGGCATGTTGTATAAGAAAAAGTGAGGTAAAGAAAGGGCTGGAGTAAAGGAAACCACTTAGCAAATTATAACTTAGGCAGGTGACAACAGGGACTTAAAGTGAAAGAGCAATAATATTAGAAGAAAATTTTGTATAAAGCAAGCTCTAAAAAATTCACCAATATAAAAGTCAGCTCTGGAGGGAAAAGTGTCTTCAGATCTTACTTAACATACACCTATTTCAAGGGAGGCTCAGATACAAAAATATTCTACAGAACCAGGTCACTAATCAAGAAAGTGTTCTTCTTTAGAAAGATTAAAAAAGAAACAACCAAAGATTTCTGAAATATATTGTCCTTTGTGGAAAATGTCAGGCCCTCATTTATATTCAGGAGGAGTAATTTCAGCAGCTTTCTCTGATGCCGTCTTCTAAAGTTTTGTCAGAGTGACAATACCTTGTTTTCCCCCTGATTAATGTACTACTTTTAAAGAACAGCTGAGGGGATCTGATGTGTCAGTTCATTTAAATGCTGCCATTTTGCTTTTGTTGGAGGCGCATAGCAATCACCCACACACCACAGTAAAGAAGGCCTCTGCAGTAACTGTTGTAAATGTCTGATCAATATTCATGCCTTAGGCAGACAAAGGGGGAGGGTGAAGAAGGAAGAGGAGGAGCTTATTTAGATCCATATTTTCCCAAACTCCACTGACAGTCTGTGCAATTTGTGATTTATGTTGTGTGGAAAGCAAGCCAGAGAATGGCTCACTTCATTTGCAGCTTAACTTCTTTGAAAACGAAAAATACAGGAAGAAATTTGAGCTGTCAGCAAGTCAGGCATATGGCCATAACTTCTATGTGGAATAATCAATTGTCTAAGTGTTAGCAAAAACAATTTTAGAATTTCTTATGTTGGCATTAATTTAGTTTATACATGTGATGTGATTTGGCATATGGTACCCTGACCTTGAGGAATTTAGTTTTTCTTTGATATCGCTTACCTTGGTCAGCGTCACCACCACCTATTTGTTCAGGTTTATGTTAAAGAGTATGTAGCCATGGACTGAGAGGTCCTGGTTTGATTCCTGGTCAGGGAACGTGCCTGGGTTGCAGAATTGATCCCCAGCAGGGGACATGCATGAATAGTCGATGAATGTTTCTCTCTCACATTGATGTTTCTATCTCTCTCTCCCTTTCTCTCTCTCTAAAAAATCAATAAAAACAAACAAACAAATAATATGTAGCCATTCTTTTATCTTCCCCCTACTCAAAACATCTGCACTATATATCCCAAGTTTTTCCTGAATCTTGTTATTCCCTTAGCTTCTGCTCAACTTTGCTTTTATCAGCTGTAGTCTAAATAATTTCATTAACCTTTTAACCTGTGTTTTTCATTCCAGTTTTCCCTTCAAAACCAATTTTTCACACTGCTGTAGAGGTCACCATGTCCAAATATAAACTGCTTTATTTCATTGCTTCTTAGTTTAACATCTTCCAATCTCCACCCTCACCTCCAGAATTTCTTGTAGGGATAAGTACATATAAAACCTATGCCAGTTCCTTCAGAATATGGTTTCAGGACATTTTTCTGACCACATGATTTTTGTAGTCACCTCCATGGGCCGCTCCCCTTTTATAAACCTAGAAAATACATTGGATGAAATAAGATTCCTCCTCCATTTAACTTTCTCTTCTTCCCTACATTTAGGCAGAGTGAACACTCGTTCTGTTTCTATAGCAGTTTTACATATTTCTATTATAGATTTTTATTTTTTTTTTTGTAGTTATTTTATAATATGGTACCTTGTCCACATATAAGATTGTGCTTTATTCCAACCACGAATCACTCTAAGAACTTGGTACTACAGAAATTAAAACAATAAAAACTGCTTTAAGTTTTCTTTTTATTTCCCCAGAAAAGACATCAATATGCCTCTAGGCCACTTGTGAATCATTTAGTAATTTTAAAGTATTATTATTTTTTTTTTATCCTCACCCAAGGACATTTTTCCATTTTTTGTTCAGATAGAGTGGGGAGGGAGAGAGAGAGAGAAAGAAACATCGATATGAAAGGGACACATCGAGTGGTTGCCACCCGCAGGACCCAACCAGGGCCGAGGACAAACTGTAACCAAGGTACGTGCCCTTAGCGGGAACCAAACCCAGGTCTCTCTGGACTGCAGGCTAACACTCTAACCGCTGAGCCAAACCGGCCAGGGCTTAAAAGTATTTTTAAAATTAAATT